AGAAGTTCCAGACGAAGAAGACGGGGCTGAGCAGCGAGCCTACCCCTGCGTGCAGCAGCTGGGGGTCAGATTTTGGGGCCATTGTCCTAAGGCTTCCCTCTGATGGGCTTTGCAGGTTCAGAGGGCTGGCCCTGCTTTGCAGACAGGAGGTTGGAGGCTCAGACCTTTGAAGGGCAGCCTCAGCCCTCACAGCTGAGTTCTGCAGCGCCCGCCAAGGGACCTCTAGCTCATGACTGGTCCTGACACTAGCCCTGCTCCACAGGTTCAAAGGCGTGAAGAAGGGGGGTGTGACGGAGAACACCTCCTACTACATCTTCACCCAGTGCCCTGATGGCGCCTTTGAGGCCTTCCCAGTGAACAACTGGTACAATTTCACGCCGCTGGCCCGGCACCGCACGCTCACCGCCGAGGAGGCCGAGGAGGAGTGGGAGCGGTGAGCCGGCCCCGACACAACCATCATGGTCCCCAGGAAGACAGGGGGCCGAGACCCTTTAGAGATTTGGGCAGGCCTACAAGGCCAGCCCAGTGGGGAGTCAGCAGCCTGGTGGCTTCACCAGGGCAGGGCACCCAAGAACCAGAGGCAGAGACCACAGTGACCACCCTCAGCCCCTTGGGCTTCCTGCAGGGTGGCAGCCACTACCAGGACCCACTGCAGCTGAGCTCTGTGGGCTCCTATGGCAGTGTGTCCTCGGGGGCACTGGCACGGGGCCTGGGTGGTCAGTGCTCGTTCGTGGAACTCCACCTGCCGAACACTGCCCAGGCCTAGCCCAGCCCAGAGCCTGCTCAGTCTCCTGGCAGCATGCGTGTGGGACACTGGCCAGGGCTGGGACGGAGGTGTGGATCTAATGTGGCAGGAGGATTCTGGGAGGTGTTAGGCTGCCAGCTTCGCGTGGACAGTGGTGGGGCAGGAAGGTGTCCCCTGGCTGGTGGGCTGCGCTGAGCTGGCCGAGGCCCCATTGCAGGAGGAACAAGGTCCTGAACCACTTCAGCATCATGCAGCAGCGGCGGCTCAAGGACCAGGACCAGGACGAGGACGAGGAGAAGGAGAAGCGTGGCCGCAAGAAGCCCAGTGAGCTGCGCATCCACGACCTGGAGGACGATCTGGAGATGTCCTCGGAGGACAGCGAGGCCAGCGGCGAGGAGGGTGCGGCCTGGCCCCGGGCCGTGGGGCGGGGCCCTAGGAGGAGGGCCTGGCCAGCAGTGCAGCCCCTCCTGAGACCCCTGCTTGCTCTCCACCCCCCACCCCCCACTCCGCCCCCAGGCAGCAGACCGTCCAAGGCCAAGAAGAAGTCGCCGCAGACTAAGGCAGGCAAGAAGAAGAAGAAGAAGAAGACCTCCGATGACGAGGCCTTCGAGGACAGCGACGACGGGGACTTTGAGGGCCAGGAGGTGGATTACATGTCGGATGGCTCGAGGTGAGACTGCGGAGGGCACGGGGACCCGGGCCTGGCTTTGGGCCGTGCTCACCCCTCTCCCTGTCTCACCCCTGCACCCCCCACCTCCCAACAGTTCCCCAGATGAGACGGAAGGCAAGCCCAAAGTGGTCCAGCAGGAGGAGGGGCCCAAGGGTAGGTGAGGGCCAGTGGGGCGGGGCGGGGCGGGACCTGTGGCCTCCCACTCACCCCCCCTCCCCTCCCCTCCCCTCCCCTCCCAGGGGTGGACGAGCAGAGTGAGAGCAGCGAGGAGAGCGAGGAGGAGAAGCCCCCGGAGGAGGACAAGGAGGAGGAAGAGGAGAAGAAGCCTCCCGCCCCCCAGGAGAAGAAGCGCAAGAAAGGTGGGTGCAGTGTGCCAGCCGCAGGTGAGGTGGGCAGTTAGGGTGCTGGCCTGGCCCTGACCCCGCCTCTTTCTGTGCAGACAGCAGCGACGAGTCGGACAGCTCAGAGGAGAGCGACATTGACAGTGAGGCTGCTTCAGCCCTCTTCATGGCGGTGAGGCCCTGCCCTGGGGGTGGGTGGGGGCGGGCCTCATGGGGCAGGGACTCACACTCCAACCCCTACAGAAGAAGAAGACGCCCCCCAAGAGGGAGCGGAAGCCATCGGGAGGCAGCTCACGGGGCAACAGCCGGCCTGGCACCCCCAGCACAGAGAGCAGCAGCACCTCGTCCACCCTGCGTGCAGCCGCCAGCAGGCTAGAGCAAGGTGCGTCTCCCTCCGCCCCTCCCCACGCTGGGGGGAGGGCTCACCTCTGAGCGCAGAGACTGGCTCGAGGGGTGTGCAGCTTGTCATCTCCATGGCAGGGTGGGGGTTGTTGTTGCCCGCGTTGAAGCTCACAGGACACCGGGGGAGCACTGGGGGCCATTGGGACGGCCGCCCGGTGGGCCAGCCCTCACCCTGGGCGGCTTCCATAGGAAAGCGGACGAGTGAGAACCCTTCTGCCAAGCGGCTCCGCATGGACCCCGGGCCACAGAGCCTGTCTGGTAAATCCACCCCCCAGCCCCAGTCTGGGAAGTCGACACCCTGCAGCAGGTAGGCTGGCTTAGATGGTGGGGGCCGGGCGGGGTCTGCAGGGATAGCAGGCTGACCAGCCACCCACCTCCCTGTCCCCGCAGCGACGTGCAGGTGACCGAGGAGGCTGTGCGCCGCTACCTGACGCGCAAGCCCATGACCACCAAGGATTTGCTGAAGAAGTTCCAGACGAAGAAGACGGGGCTGAGCAGCGAGCAGACGGTCAACGTGCTGGCCCAGATCCTCAAGCGCCTCAACCCGGAGCGCAAGATGGTCAACGACAAGATGCACTTCTCCCTCAAGGAGTGACCGGCAGGGCCCAGGCCCCCGCCCAGCGCAGCCGGCCCTCCGGCGGCGGGCTCTGCCTGCCGGAGCCTTCCAACAAGACTTATTTGCCTTCCGGTTGTCTCTGGCTTCTGGGGACCCCGTGTGTCGCTAGAGAGCTGCACCCCCTTGGGCTTTCAGGTCCCGAGTTTCTGGGGAGACAGCCAGCTCTGTCTGCAGCTCCTCACTTCTCAGTAAACATCAGCCGGTTAACTACACCCCAGGTCTGCTGTTCTTTGTTGCCCTTGAACAGACCCTGGTTTGTCGAGACCCCGGGGACAGAGCGGCGCCTTTTCCAGAAAGTGCCAGGACTTTCTGGTGGATCCTAAGGCCACCTGATTTTTGCTCACGGTCAAATGCTTAGCCTCACTATTCTCAGACTCCCACACTGGGCTGCCAGCACAAATGGCCTCATATTCTCCCCCAGAGCAGCTGGTGGGTTTGAACTGTGGCCTTTCAGAGCCACCTATTGGCACTTCATGTTCTCTCAACCCTAATCACCTTCACCGCACCCTGTCCCCTGTGGTCCATGAGGTAACTCATCTCTTGCTCAGAGAACGGCTGGGCTGATCCTACAGCAGGGATGTCATTGTTCCTCCAGGTTGTCCCTTAGGAGCCCTGGGGGTGCAGTGGTTACTCACTGGGCTGTGATCACAAGGTCAGTGGTTCGAAAACACCAGCTGCTCCTTGGGAGCAAGATGGGCCTTCTGCTGTAAAGAGTGGCAGTCTTGGAACCTCAGGGGCAGCCCTGCCCTGCCCTACAGGCTCGCTAGGAGTCGGCATCGACCTGATGTTTGTGAGTTTGAGTTTCCGAGGGGAGGTTGTTCCAGGGAGCATCTCGGGTCGTCATCTGTCAGAGGACTGGCCTCCAAGGTGATGGGTGTCCTGCTGTCTCTCTGACCCTTGCAGTTCCCTTGGGTTCTGTGATTCGGGAGGGCAAGCCTCTGAGAAGGGTGCGGTGGTGGTCTGTGAGCGCCTCTTGACTTCAAGGGGAGGATGGTCAAATTGGACCCCAGCCCAGGCCCGTCCCCAGAGCTCTCCATGCCTCTCCGCTGCAGTGGCCACCCAGAACATCTTCAGGAGTAAGGGCGTTACTAGGGAAACAAACAGGTTACATTTAGGGATAGAAACACACAGGATCCATCTCTTTGGTCAGACAGCCTCTTGGCCATGCTCAAGGTGCAAGTGTTAGAAAGCTCTCGGCGCTGTGGCCCTGTGGCCTCTGCCCTGTGGGAGCAAATGTAAGCGCTGATTAAGCACCGAGGCTTCTCGCTCAGTGGGGGCTGATGTGGGTTTGTGTTTTGGGTCCCACATTGCTAGGAGTGGGATGGGGCCCGACAGTGTTTTTTTTGAGCCCCTGGTCTGAGTGTTTTTGGCTGCTGGACCCTGGTCTCATCCGGGCTGGGATCCTTGGGCGGAAAAAGTCTTCCTCCCCATCCTGTTCCGAAGGCATCTGGCTGCCAAGCAGGAATGCTTGAGATGTCCCGCTAAGTCCCTGGAATGTCCCAGGTTGGTCCAACCTCTTCTCATCCTTCCGCCCGGCCTTTTTAGGACAACGGGAAAGCAGTGCCCCCAGCCCGTCCAGCTCTGCAGTCTTAGCAACCCCCCCGCAAGCCGGCCACATCATCGTCCTCTGTGTGGCACGCCTGCTCTTCCCAGCGGTGCCTGTGGCCAGTTTGCCAGGCAGCTGGGCACAGGCCTTTCTGAGGCACAGGGACAAGGGCCACTGCTGCTACGCTCAGAGGCCAGGCAGTGCTGCACAGGCCTGGCGTTCTGGGGGCCGCAGTTCAGTTTCTTCAGTATGGGGCAACTTTGGGCATGGGAAGGACCCCTCCTGATGTCGCCATAGGTTAGGTATTGGGCTGCTGAACCCCCCTGTCAGCGGTTCCAACCCACCAGCTGAGGAGCTGTTCGACTGTCCTGTAGGGTCAGATTTGGGGCAAGAGACTAGCCTCAGACTCCCTTTCAGCACCTGAGCACAGCCTGGGTGAACACCAATAAGTGGGGGGTGGGGGGGGGGGTCCCTTAGCAGTGTGGCATCGGTGGGACTTCACCCCGCTCAGTAAAGAACTGCCCGATGGGGCTGCTCTGGAAGCAGGTCACCAGACTTTTCTTCCCAGGCACCTAGGAGGTGGATGGGCTCGAACCACCAACCTTTAGCAAGAGTAATTTAGCACTTACCCATTTGTGCCACCCGGGGACTCCTTCCTAAAACCAAGCCTGCCATTGAGTTGGTGCCCGTTCATAGCAGCCCTGTAGGACAGGGTAGCACTGCCCCTCTGGGTTTCTAAGACTGACTACGGGAGAGGAGCCTCGTCTTTCTTCCTCAGAGCCACTGATGGCCTCAAACTGCTGACCCTGGGTTAGCAGCCCAATGTGTAGCTGCCAGGCCACTAGGGCTCCTAGGGACTCAGACGTGTTGAAGTCTTGGTCTCTGTTGAGCTTTATGATTGGTACCCAGCATCGTCCCCTTCAGACCTGTAAAGGGACATGGACGTCCTTTGGCTCAAAAGTTCCTAGAAGTCCCGTGGTGGCAGGTACTGTGCCAAATGCACAAGTGTAGTCTGGGTACTTTTAGAGAAACAAATCCACAGAAACTCATGTGTAAGAGAGAGTTTTATATAAAGGTTAAGTGCATCAAGAAGACATCCCAACCCAGTGCTGCCCAAGCCCATAAATCCAACATTAACCCATATGTCCAACACCAATCCACATAGTCCTTCACCTCACAAAACACACACTATGACACCGACTGCAGGAGGAAAGCCAAGTCAGTGAATGTGTAAACCACTTAGCACTGACAGGGGTCTCCACGTGGCTGCTCCAGCACACAGGGCTGCATCGGGGTAGGGACATGTGGCTTCTCCTCAGGGATGTCTTGCAGGAAGTGAGCCTTGCCAGCTGAAGCAGGAACTGGCTGAGGCAGTTGCACCCTGGTCCGACCATCAGATAGCAAGAGACCAGAGAACTAGAAAGGCGAGGCTCACTGAACCATTTATCTCTTCGCCCTTCAATTAACCCCACGTGTTGGCACAATAAACTACCTCAGCACGCATTCTTTCTTCATCGAAGGAACCCCAGTGACGCAGTGCTTAAGTGCCCCTGCCACCGGTCTTTGCTGAGTCACAGGGGCCCGCAGGATGGAGCTGCCCCTGTGGGTTTCCCAGAGGGTCGATCCTCATTGGCACAGAAAGCCTCACGTTGTCCAAACAGAGGAAGGAAGGTGGGCAGTTTGAGGGGAAAAGGCCTAGCAATCTCCCATCAGGATGATGGCCTGAAAGGCCCCACAGTTCTGCTGTCACGTGGGGTTGCCATGAGGCGCGGACTGTGGGAAGGAGGAAGGGACGGAGGCTCACTCCCCGGAGTGACACCAAGCTAGGCACAGACGCCACCAGACTGCATGTCCCTGGGACCTACTGTCCCTTCCTCTGGGCCACTTCTTCCCAGGACCTAGTGGTTCTCAAGCTCCCTTCTGGTCTGATCATGGTGGTTCCCGGGAGGGGGCTGTGGGCCCTTCTAGAGGGAGGGGTTCCCCTGAGTGGGTGGCGGGGGGAGCTCCATGCACTGGGCAACCCCATCCTTGGCTGTCCCCACGCCTCACCCTTTTCCTGTTTTGATGTTGGCTTCACCGGCCTGCCCGGAGACAGGCATGACATCCTAATCCTCCATGGGGAGCCATGAAGGCCCCTCCACACTCGCCCCAGCACACACAGCTGCTCCGCCGGCCACCTAAGTGGGTCTCCTGAGCTTCAGCACCTGACTAGTGGGGAGAGACCCCCGTGTGGGGGGGTGTCCCATGACACCCCCACTCTCCCTGGTGATTACAGGTGGCCCAGTTAGGGGTGCTGGTTGCCCAGCCTGGGCTGGGCCCTGGCTGCTACGCCACCCTCGTAAATCAGACTGCTGAGGGGTGTCGGAAACAGGCTGTGGAATGTCTGGTGGGTGGGTGGGGGGGGAGGCTTAGCTCTAAGGAGCACAGGTGGGTGGGGCGAGAAGAGTGAACACCCCCACCCCCACCCCCCTCGCCTGAGCAGAGGCATAAATGGAGGGCAGGGGCTCCCCGGCCTCAGGACCTGTCGCCATGTCCCCGGGGGGAGTTTTGCTTGGCTGCCAGATGTCCCTGTGGCTGCTGCTGGACCTCGGCGGGGCCCCCGCTGCCCTGGGGTCCCCATTGGTAAACTCTGCAGGCTTCTGGACTCGGCGCAAAACAGAGACTGGAGAGACCCAGACGCAGTGGCTGGGTACGTACCCCAAGTCCCCCTGTTTGATCCCTAACTCCTGCCCACCCAGGTCCTGCCCGCTCACATCAGCTGCCCCTCTCACCCTCAGGACCCCGCCGTCCCCTCGCTCGCCTGCGCCGAGCCCCAGCCGCCCCATGCCAGCTCTGGAGCCTGACCCTGCCCGTGGCCGAGCTGGGCCTGGGCTATACCTCTGAAGAGAGGGTGGTCTTCCGCTACTGCGCCGGCAGCTGTCCCCGTGGTGCCCACACCCAGCATGGCCTGACGCTGGCCCGGCTGCGTGGCCAGGGACTCGCCCAAGGCGGGCCCTGCTGCAGGGCCACCAGCTACACAGACGTGACCTTCCTGGACAGCCACCATCGTTGGCAGCGGCTGGTCCAGCTCTCGGCGGCGGCCTGCAGCTGCAGTGACTGAGAAGGGGAGCAGGTTGGGGGGTGCGGTTGGCACAATAAAGAAAGCACTCTCTTGGCTTGGGGACCTTGTCCGCCAGATGTGAGACCAGCCACCTTGATCCCCAGGGGGGCAGTTCCCAGGCTCCCCCTGCACACTGAAGCCCCTGCAGACAGGCTGTGGGTGCTTCGCTAGCTTTATTTACACACAGTGTCCTTGATGGGTGGGAGGCAGCCTAGGGGGGTCAGCAGACTGTGGGGGGCAATCCGGGCTCTGCTCCTCAGGGGGGGAGCGGCAGATGACAGAGATGCGGCGGCTCCTGGGGATCCGGCGCTCCCCAAAAAAGGAGTCTTGGTCTCGTAGGATCTCATGGGAGAAGTCATAGCGGGCAGAGCCCCTGAGAGGGGGAGAGAGGAAGCAGAGGGGTGACTCAGGGTTGGGGCTCTGTCCAGGCAGTCTTGGGTCCCAGACCCCTGGGCAAGCTCTGGTGTCGGGGAGGACTGCGGAGGAGCAGGGCTTTGGGTGGCGGTGGCTACCAGGACTCTGGGTAACTGTCAGGGTGGCCTGCCGGGAACAGGGGAGGCTGGGTTTGAGGTACCTTAGGATGTAGAGGGAGCCAGGCTCCAACAAGAGTTCCAGCCACTCTGTGGGCTCCTGGGTGTGCACCAGCCGCATGACGCTGGAAGACAGCAAGGACAAGCCGGCAATGGTGGCTCCACAGAACTGCAGAGGGTGGGGCAGGTTAAGCTGCTGAGAATGCCATGCCCCCCCACAAGGAGCCCCTCAGCCCCCACCTCTGCTCACCTTGACGCTGTCCACGTGTGGCTTGATGTAGCCCTTCGGCTCCAGGTCCAGCACGTGCACCAGAGGGAGCAGGACCTGGTTGGGGCCGAAGGCAGCCTCCCGCACCCGCTGCAGGATGGCCTGGCTGGCCTCCGACCAGCGCGATTTCTCGGTCTCCCGGAAGCCGTGGATGGCCTGCGCAGAGAGGGCACAGGTCACGCCTAAAGGTTCCCCAGGGAGGGGGGTGGGCAGGGAAACAGTCATGGGAGAGGCCGCGTGCAGTCCACTCTCCAGCAGGGTGCTATCTAGACACTGCCCTAGACCTCAAGCCCCTTCCTCTGAGCCCCATCTGGGACTGGCCTTCCCCACACACTGCCATCAAGTCATGCGGACCCATAGCGACCCTACAGGAAAAGAGTAGAACTGCCCCTTTGAGTTTCCGAGATGGTATAGAAAGCCCCGCTTTTCTCCTACAAGGGAAGTGGTTGTGAACAGCTGTGTTTGCAGATCGCAGCCCAACATGCAACCACTGGACACCAGGGCTCCCTCCGCCATTGACCTTCAGGCCCCGACTTAATTTCTCAAAGTGCCTCAACTTGATCCTAAGTGCCCTGTCTCCGCCCCCTACCCCTGACCTTCCTTATCTCCCTCCACACCTAGTTCTGGCACGGGCCAAGCCCGATTCACTATTCCAGGGCCCGTCCCCTTGCGCCCCGCCCCAAACGGCTCGGCCACGCCCCAAGACCCACATCCAGGGCACCGATAGGCGCTCAAGCTCCCGCCCCCAGCCGTGGCCCCGCCCCCGGCGCTCACCGCGTCCCAGTGGTCGTATTCGTAGCGGCGGCGGCGCAGGGCTGGCTCCAGCTCGCGGCTCAGCGTCTCTTCCTCGGCCGCGCTCAGGAAGCCGGGCCGCACCACGGCAGCGTCCCGCAGGCGGCTCAGTACCGCCGGACCCGACCCTCGCACCCAGCCCTGCCCGGACACTGCCCGCAGCCCGCTCCCGGCCATGGCCCCGGAAGCCGGCGGGGTCCGTGGAACGCCCCGGGACCGCAACCATTGGCTGCGGCCACAACGGACCGTTCACCCATTGGGTTTCCCTCAAGTCCCGCCTCTTCCTTATCACGATTGGCTGATCCTTGGCCTGACCCCTCAGGCTATTGGCTCGCCTTAGAACCCGCCTCCTCACCGACGCTGTTCGGTTCTAGCCACCTCGATAGCTCATCCTACTGGCTGGGCTCCAAGCCCATGTGCAGGCCAGGTCTATTAGTGCTTGTCATTGACAACTGACTGGACGTCATTGGTAGTTGCAGATCCTAGCCCCACCTCTTTTGACATCAACTTCCCAGATCTGGTCAACTTTGAGCAGGTGAGATGTTGCCCAGGGGGCACTGGAGTCAGAAGGTCAAAGGTCAGGGTCAAAGACAAGGTTATGAAGTTTCCCAAGGTTGGACTAAGTGGTCTACAGGATAATTAAGGAAACCTACAGGCCTCCCACCTTAAAACTTAATCAAACTCTTGATAGAATTGGCATCTGTTGGTACCTCCTGGAGTTTCAATCCTGTGTACACGTGAGGACATCGTGTCTGATAAAACACCATCACTGCCATGGAGACCAGGCCAACTCACAGCGACCCTACAGGGCAGAGCGGAACTGGCCCTGTGGGTTTCCAAGGCTGTGGATTGTTAGATTGTGACATTTCGAGAGGAGAGACTGGTCCTTAGAGAAGGGCATCGAGCTTGGTAAAGGCAGTATTACAGAGGAAGGACCTTAAGGAGATGGCCCAGCACGGCTCAGGCAGATGAACACTTGTGAAGGCGGTCCGGGACTGGGCAGTATTTCGTTCTGCTGTGCGTAAGATTCTATTCTATTATCCAGTCCACTATGGGTTTGGAGCTGACTCAATGTTGCCTTCACACCAAGAAATCTTTACACAAGTAGCAAACCTCACTTTGCTCCTGAAGAATGGTCGGAGGTTCCGAACTGCTGACTTTGGGTTAGCACGTCAATTGTCACCGCTCTGTCACCAGGGGCTCCTCAAAGTAAAGGTTGACAATGAGTCGGAGCCCACGTGATGGCACCTCACAACATACACACATGAAACGTGGACAATGAATAAAGGAGGTAGGAGAACCGATGCCCTTGGACCAGTGTTTAGGTTCACTATCGGCTATACCGTGGGTTGCCAGTGGAAGGAACGAACCTGCCCTGGAGGCAGTACAGCCAGGATGCTATTTAGAAGCAAGAGGGAGACTGCCTCACACACTCTGGACGTTACCGGGAGGAACTAGTCCCTGGAGAAGGATGTCATGTTTGATAAAGGAGACATCAAAAAAGAACATGACCTTCGATGAGACGGACCGACACAGTAGCTGCAGCAATGCGTTCCACAGGACCAGGCAGGGTCTCTCTTTTTTTGTTATAGGAAGGGGCCGCCAAAGTTGGAGGAAAACGATACTGGAATTTTCCACAAATCCTTTGAAGCCCTCTCATGGTACATGAGGGTGCTAGGAGCCCACCCACTTGACAGCACCTCACAAGAACTGGCTGCGGGGTTGGCGGCTTTGAAGGCATCCAGAAGCTGCTCAGAAGACCGGCCTGGGGATCCAGACTAAAGGTAGGAAGAAAGGCCTAGAGGTGGCCTTCTGACACCCCGCCAGTGCAAAGCTCACAGCAGTCCGACCCACAGGCTGTCACAGGGACAGATTGGCCCTGGCAGTGCTTGCTCTCGCTGTAAGGGGCTCGCCGTTGGTTCCGGGGTGCACGGGGCCCCTGTGAGCTGGGGGCTGAGTCGATGGCAGCGAACAAACAACAGGACAGCTGTTTGCTGCAGGGAGAAGTGTCTGCTCAGGGCCGCTGTGACCCCTGAGAGGTGTGGACTCCACAGTAGAGCAGAGCGTGGGTGTAGGCGTGCACATGCTCGTGCGTACACACAGGAAAGATCACGAGGGTTTACTTGAAAATCACAGTGTCCCAGCAGCCCACCCTGTCACCCTAAGTTCCGCAAGGGGCCTCAGGCTTGGCAACCGGAGGGGAGCAGGGCTGCATTCTTGGGGGTCCGCCAGCCCCACAACTTCTCTTCCCCAAAGGAGACTGGGCTCTCAGGAGCTTGCTGGGACAGGGTCTGTGGCCCCCACCACTGTCGCCACTGCCGCCACTGCCGCCGGCTCCTTTTGCACCAACTCTGGCTCATCCTCTCCATCGTGGGGAGGGTGGACCAGCACCTTGTCCAAGATGCCAAACTCCTGGGCCTCCACGGGACTCATGTAACGGTCCCTTTCCATGGCTGCCTCTGTGAAACGAAAGCAGGCAGGGGGTCAGGAGCCAGCTCTGGGTGTCACCCGTTGCCAAGGGGACCCTGGCCTCCTCCTTGCTGGCTCTCTGTGCCTGGGCGCCCTCATTGGGAAAATCCCAGCGGCCATGAATCCCTACTTGCTCTGGACTAGGTTTTGTACCTGGCTGCCGTTGAACTGCCTCCTGCGCTTCACAGGGCCGTCACAGAGCAAGCGGGAAAGCACTCAACTATACGCCAAAAGGCTGGTGGTTCGGGATCACCCAGGGGCGCCTCGAAAGAAAGGCTTGGAGATCTACTTCTGAAAACCCTTCAACGGGATGGCAACCACCAAGGTCATGGAGATTCTAATGTGGTTCTAACCCACCTTTCTCAAAGGAGCCCTGCTGGCACAGTGGTTATGCACTGGACTGCTAACTCTAAGGTCAGCAGTTTGAAACCACCATCCTCAGGAGAAAGATGGGGCTTTCTACTCCCTTAAAGAG